GCACCGGAGGGCGCTTGCCCCCGCCCCCCCCCCCCCCCCCCCCCCCCCCCCCCCCCCCCAGCCGGCGCGCATCTCCCACCTCTGAGCAGCGCAGGATGGAACGCGCTGCCGGGTGCCCCACCCCCAAACACACCGGGCCGCCGCGGGGCGGGCCCCAACTCGCGCGTGATCGGCATTCGGTGTGATGCGCGTTGGCACAATGGCCCCTGGATCGGGTGTGCTCCCCGGGCGTCGCCGACTTGATCGTCGGTATATGCCTGGGGCGGAATGCCCGCCGATCTTGCCGGCCGGCGGTGTCGCCCTGCCCCCGGAACCGGGGGGGGGAGGGGGGAACGAGGACGTGGATCTCTCTCTCTCTCTCTCTCTCGCGCCTCCCCCTCTGCCCGGCCTGGATACAGGCCGGTGGGCGGCGGACACCGGGGCGTGTCACGATCGGGCCCGAGGACTGGGGCCCGATGTCGGTCGGCAAGGCGGGCATCAAGAGGCGCGGCGCAGCGCGAGGACACCCGCCCCCTCAACACCGAGACCCTCCCCTCCCTGTCCCCCCCCCCCTCACCACCACCACCACCACCACCACCACCACCACCACCACCACCACCACCCCCACCCCCTCTCCTGGTCCCACACTGCCAAGCGCAGGGCACACCACCTCCACACCCTGTACCACCACAACTCGGGGTCGCGGTCCCTGGCCGAGGAGATGCTCCACCAGGCGGCCTCTGCCAAGCACCCAGCCGGCGACCGGAACGACGCGGACCCCGGCGATGCGGACGCCAGCGTCTCCCTGCTGGCGTCCACGTCCAGTGCCGGGCATGCTCCGCCGGCCGCGGGGGCGGGAGCCACCACGACCGCCACACCTTCGGGCGCCGTCTCGCCCGGGGCTCTGATGAACACCGGCCCCCTGTGGCGACGCATCTTGATCCTGATGCTGATCCGCCTGCTGCCGCCCCTGTTGCTGTTCTTCCTGCTGGGGTTCGGCTACTACACGGTCATGGTCACGATTGTCGGTGCGTGGCGGGTGCCCGTCTCCTCCGCTCCCTCTTTCCCGTTGCCCTTCTCGCTTCGCTGCCTTTCTCCCGCTCTCGCCCTCGCTCGCTCTTTCCGCCGCCTGCCGGACACTGACAGACACGCGCACATGCGCTCAATCCGTATCCGTAACTATGCCCACATCCTTATGTCCACATGCATGTATATCGGTCTACATGCATGCACACGCACACGCACACACACACACACACACACACACACACACACACACACACACACACACACACACACGTGCATCATGGCCGCGCGCCTTGACACCTCCCCGCCCCAGGCGCCAAGTGGTTCACCGGGGTGCATAGCCTGCCTCCCATGGGGATTGCGGCATATCTGCTGTATTTCCACACGCTCGTGGGCATGATCCTCTGGAGCCTGGAGTGCATCAATGGCAACATGCGCTCGATGGTGGCCTGCGTGCGCCTGCTGCTGGCCCCCCCGGCTGACCCGGCCGCCGCGGCGGCCCTCAATCACCGGGTATTCAGTGTCGCGCAGTACTGCGGTCAGGTCCCGCAGTCGGTGCGTGTTCCAAAGCCCTGGGCCTTGGTCTGGGCGCCTTTGGCTTCCCTCTCGGGCCTGTGCGCCCCTCGGCCCGGCACCGCCCCATGCTGACTCCCTGTTGCCGGAATGGCCACGGGCTCTGCCCCCCCCCCCCCCCCC